GGACGAGAAGGGTAGCATTGAATGAAGAATGTATCTGTCGTGGAGGTGCTGAATGATGACCTGTTTGGCAAGCATAGTTTTCAGGTCATCACAACCTGCGAGGACAAGAAGGTATGTGCTGCTAGCAGCAGCAGCATGCATGCATGTGTAGTATCTTTACCGCACTGCATAAGCACGGAATATGAGCCTCGGACTAGCCTTGCGGTTCTGTGGCTGTGATCCTCGTCTCGAATTTGATGTGTATGAAATGTGTATCTTCACCTGTAATTATTATAAAAAATACAATGGAATTTGTGTCCTAGTGTGTCGCCTGTTGGAGTATGTAGCCTGGTAAGTCATGTACTCGGTTGCAGTGGAAGTGCACTGCATACAGTACTAGTTTAGTGCCAGTGGTGGCGTAAATCACGTAATCCATGTTTTCCATGCAGTAGGCAGGTCCTATTTTAGCACTAATGTAAGCAGAACAGGTGATGTAGAGCGCTGGGCTAGCCAGATCCAGAGCCTGCCCATGTTCCGGTGCTATGCGGCCATGACGTGACGTTTCTGAGATCTACTGACCTGTCATGGCCGTGCCGATGTTATGTAGCCAGACCAGTGTTACGTAATACGGGTGTAACGTACGCATTCACACACTGCTACATTGCTGAGAATGTAGTGTTAGTGCTAGACTACAGCTGTCAGTAAGGTTGAGGTGGTCAGCAAGTCACTGGACGGATCTATGCATTACTTCTGACTGCTCCCAGGGGCGATTTTCTATTCAAGCCAAGTGCAAGACGTTTGCATCTTTCATGCTCAGCAACAGGCGTAAACGTATCATGATTATGAATTATGTGTTGGTTGGTATGTAGCATTTAGCAGCTTATGCGGTGCTAATGCATACCCTTTCTATAACTGTACTTCCAGCAAGTCTGTCGGCACGTGGTGTATATATAAAGAGCCCAGTTGTGAAGGGCACATCTGGGTTGGAGAAGTTCTGATCTTTCATACATGTAGGTGCTTCTGTCAGCTGCATGGCCGTTACTAACCTGTTAGTGCAGTTCTGTTCTGTACATGCAATGAGAAATCTGTCTTGTCTTGGATTTCCTGGACAGGGCGGGTCCTTGTATCTTACAGCTCCTAGCGACAAGGAGAGGGACGCGTGGATGTTGGAAATCCGGCTATGTAAGTATATCTGTCAGAGGGTGCTGCTGTACGTGTATTGCTCACTGCGGGTAGCATGCACACGGATACATAGAGTTCAATCGTCCTACTTCACCGGCAATACGCAGCACTGGAGAATGCGTTGAAGCAACAGCAACTGACCCTGAACAGTCTCTATGTAGTCTGCTGTCGTAGCTTAAGTGGCATGATCGGACACGACTGCAGCATAAACATGACAATGTAAACCGTAATGCAAGCGTACACTGTGCCTCAGTCTATGCTGTGCCTGTTCCTGTGTTCTCCAGTGTGTTATGTCAAGGATAACATCATGCAGTCGCACTATCACCCAGATCTACTGCACGGTAGTGACTGGCATTGCTGCAAGAATTCCGCCAAGATTGTCGGCTGCCAGCTGTCATACGACTATCCGTCACTTTCCTATAAAAAGGATCTTGCAGAGACAAAGGTGGAACCACTGAAGACCAGTACGACAACAAGCCCTGTGTCGCCGCTACCGCCCGTCTCCTTTGAAAGTACTTTGCAGGCGGGGCCACGGGAAGAACGTGCAGTAAGCATGTCAGATCTTGAAGAGAAGCTGTCCGAGAGTAGCACCACACCAGCTCCTACAGACCGGCTACGGAGTGAAACCATCGCCTCGCCATCGTTTGAGAAGAATCCCTTCCAGAAGTCACTCATGCGCAGGCAGAACGAACAACAGACGGCTCGACCTCCCAAGCCAAAGCGAGATAACCTGGACAAGAAAAAAGAGACGCCATTTGACAGGCTGATGAGCAACTCTAGCGTACAGGTAGCTGGAGACAAGTCACCAGTACTGGGTCGTGTTACAAATGGTGAAACATCAGAAGGTGCTGGTGAGTTTTTAGTCTTACGTACATGTATTAAACTAACGTTTGAAAACCTGCCCAGCTTACTGCTCAAGGGGCGCAAAATAGGCTGGTTCCCGTATTCAAAGTTGCCTGACTAACAATGACAATCTGACATGCTCTTTGGTCTCAGATCAAGTAGTCCTCTGGGCCAGCAGTCACCTGGTTGATTTTGGCGGTCACCTTTTCCGGTAATCTACTCTGCAAATATAGTAAAACCTGGTGTAAGTGACCTCTGGGTTTAGCGACCACCTGCTCTTAATTAACGGCCGTTTTTCGATGTACGGACAGTTCTACACAGACACTGTGGGACCTGATTCTAAAGACCACCTGGCGTTGACGGCCACTTTTGTTTGCGCCGTTGGGTGGTCGCTTAAACCAGGTTTTACTGTATCACTGTACGTCTAGTGTGCGATGGCGTGTGCGTGCCTGTGTAGTGTGTGATGGCGTGTGCGTGCCTGTGTAGTGTGTGCGGGGTACAGCCAGGGCTGCATCATCTCACCAGCCTGTGTGGTGTCACGGGAAGTGTGAGTTTAAAAAGTCTGGAGAAAATGTTGAACGGTCTCCGCTGGGATGACAGCTACCCAGGCACACCATAGCTTAGTGGTTAGAGCATCGCTGGAAGGTCCCTGGTTCGAGTCCTGGTGGTGACAGTCAATTTTTCTTCAGATTTGTCCCTTTTCCATTCTCTCAACCTATGAATATTTACTATACAAAAAGAATTAATTAGTCAAGAAATGGTGACCACACACACGCAGGCATGCACACCCCATTAACTGGTATGCAGGATGGCTCACGGAACAGATCATTGCCAAATTAATATTACATGCAAAATGGCCTTGAATGCGAATATTATAATATAAATAGCAGGTGTATCGATTGTGCATCTGCCCATCCGTATACTCTTGTCCAGGATGTTTCAAAATGGTGTTATGGTAAAATTGGTGCTTTCATCCTCCTACAAAATTGTGGGTTGTGAATTTTATTAGCTGCTTCACTGCAATAAGGGGCCATCCGTAAATACCGATATTTATTTAGAAACGAAACCTAGTCATTTCCCTTCAACCCCCTCCTCCTCCCTGAGAAACGAGCTCATACAAACGGTACATAGTATCGATATTTTTTTGTCAGGACGTGCCCACTCATACGAACTGTGCATTGATATTTTTCGAGAAACAAACAGGCACTCAACCCCCTCCCCCCCCCCCCCCTAAACGACTAGTTTTCGTTTCTAAATAAATATCGATACGTAAGGAAGGCCCCTAAGGGGCCGTCCGGGGTTACCGATTGTTTTTACAAAACGAAAAGTTTTAGTATTTTTCAGCCCCCACCCACCCACCCACCTTTTCTGCAGGTAAAACGAATTCCAATAAAATATTGATGTCAATTTTCGACACCCAGAAGTGACTGGGCATTCTCCATCAGCATTCAATAATTATTTTCAAAACGAAACTCCATCAAACCCACCCACCCACAAACGAAAACATTTCGTTTTGAAAATATTATTGGTAACCTCGGACGGCCCCTAACTGGACTAGGTCTTATTAAGTCCATTTCGGTAGCCTTCACATCTGTATCTTCTGCGGTTAAAGATCAATTCATTTTCCTTGCACTTCTCAGGCACAACATCAGCCCCTCAGCCCGAATCAGCAGCAGCTGCCCTGTTGATAGATCTTTCTGCAAGTGACAAATCGGAGGATGCATTTTTCGCACCTAAGCCTGGTGCCGAGTCTGATGGTGGCTTCTCGTGGAAAGCTGAGTTTCCAGAGCTTGCGGAGCAGACTGGGCAAGAGGTAGGTCACACCTGTATGGGCGTCACATTGTCAATGAGTGCCATTATGTGATGTTGCCAGATCTCTGACCCCATGGTGGCTTGTGTATGGCTCAGTGTACTTGTACATGCTTATAACCGTTACATGTAGATAAATCAAACAGTGGACGGAAAGGTCATGGTTGTAGCTCGGAGCATCCCTAGGCGCACCCCTCATGCGCATTGCTCATGTATATGAATAACCTGCATCGCAGTGCCTTCTAGTTCCGCGTTGGCCGTTCTGTTTTCTCTCAGTGTCCTGCTCGCTCTAGCAGTTTGCTTGTACTCAAAGGTCAGCATGCACGTGTGAACAGAGAGAGGTGCGGACATACACGGCCATGAGCACACACCACACCAGCAAACGTATCCATCGGCCACCGTTCTAAGACCCTGCAGTTGAAGTACATGTAATCCTGAAAGAGGTAGGCTACACCTGACTGATACATGATGTACTGTGTTGTTTTTGTGCAGGTTGCCACTGTTGTTAGTACTGCTGATGCAGATGAGATTGATGGACCTTCACGTACTGGTGCAGCCGCCAACCTTCTCGATATAGATCCTGTGGTGACATTGACACCGGCAACACCAGAGGCAACACCAACAGCAGTGACAATATTGGGAGACATGGCTGCCAAGGTGAACGACAACAGCAGCACCAGTAACGCTACAAATCAAGTGGTTATCACACATGAGCTGGTTGAAGTGGCTGAAACCGTAACAACAGGTGGGGACATGCCAGATGATGCAGCCAAGGAAAGCACGCCAGGAGCAGCTAAAGCCGAGGCCAGTCCGTTCGGAGACAGTGGTGATTTTAGCTCATTGAAGTTGCCCGAAGCACAAAACCTCATGGTTAAATCTCCATCGCTCTCATCGCTTGCCTCGGTCTCATCTGAGAGCGACATGATAAAGATTCCTGGTCCCCCAAAGTCTCTAGAAAATCGCCAGTCCCGGAATTTATCGTCAACGAACTTGCCTAGCCCAACTAGTATGACATCTGACGGCAATATACTATCACCTACGTACAGTAATGGTGCTCTGTCCAATGGCAGTGTGTCTCCATTGCACTCGGCTGTGTCCGATTCATCTATGTCAGTCAGTTCACCTGATGCACTGAGCACACATAGTGCCATTGCAGATTCGCAGACCGGCGCCAGGCCTGTTCCTCAACACCCACCATCACTGTCAGTCAGTGAATCATCCAGTTCAATAACATCACCACAGATTGCGTCACCGGACTGTGAGGATGAAGGAACACAGTCAGCGCTGCTGAGTTCGGGTCAGTCATCGCTCTCTGCAACTTCTGAACGGAATCGCTCTGGCTCTTCCCTTACCAAGATGATGCCAGCCATCTTCCGTCCTGGGGGCAAGAGACTGGTAAGCCGAGAGATACGACATTTATATCCAGCCACCACCGGTGTATGGTAGTGCCGGCTCTGCCTCTGCTTAGTCTATTGTACCAATGCCGTTGTAGGATTTGTGTACCCATCCCGCCATACTACTCACCTGATCCTGGCTGATTTTCTTTTGTACCCACTGGTTTTCATTTGCATTCACTAATTTTCATTGTACACATCATTGACAGTAGCCCGAGCTCACAGCGGAAAGTAGGGCTTGATCCTCCATATTATACCTGCTGTCCTGCTCCCATAATTGACTGTGTGTATGTCATGCATGTTGCTGCAGTCGACCATCTCAGTATCCAGTGTCGATGGCACTGAAAAGTTTGACCTGGTTCATCCCGACGACTGCAGCCCACAGTCTGAAGAGGCGTGTCGAGAGAAGAGCGATAGCATAGCCGAGCCTGTGAATCCATTCAAGGCACTTCACCAAGCATGTCAGGTATGCTCGGGTTTGTGTGCATTTCTTTTTAACGGTATTTGGGTATGCGTACATGTACATGCACAAGTTTGAGCATGCTTACGAATACTTCAAATTCACCAACCATGCCCCCAGAATGTGTGGCAGATATCATCTTTCTCACTCATCAGTGACTCTCCACACTCACTGTGAAAGAAAGGTCTGATCACTGTCTCCTCAAACTTTATCTAATGTGTCTTGCATTTGCTCGAAGTGGCTGCTGAGAATTTGCTCTAATGCTTATCGGTTTCAATTTTTGAATTTGGTCAAAATCTGATCAAGTTACGATTGGTTGACTTCTCATGTGCTTGCTAACGTACATGGTTTGATCCTCAACTAACTCAGGGCTAACGCTGTCCCGCATACATGGCCTAGTGCTACGTGTACAAACATAAGTCATGCTTGACTCTTCTCTTCTCTATCTGATCACACAGCAAGGTTTGGTGGAGGAAGTTGTGGAGCAGCTGGAGGCAGGAGTCAACCCAGACGAGCCACACTTGGAGAGCCGCCAGCCGCCAGTCTTCATGGCATATTATCATGATCACACTGAGGTAGGCCGGCTGAGCCTGAGAGAGAGAGAGAGAGAGAGAGAGAGAGAGAGAGAGAGAGAGAGAGAGAGAGAGAGAGAGAGAGAGGGAGAGAGAGGGAGAGAGAGGGAGAGGGAGAGGGAGAGGGAGAGGGAGAGGGAGAGGGAGAGGGAGAGGGAGAGGGAGGGAAGGAGGGAAGGAGGGAAGGAGGGAGGGAGGGAGGGAGAGAGAGACTAGGCAGACTACTGTGTTAGGTCATGCCTGTCGGTATGATTGTATGGATCAGCGTGGATAAGACACACTGTAGTCCATGTGAATGCTTCAGCCTCGACGCATTCACTGTGACGTCATTCACTGTGACGTCATTCACTGTGACGTCATTCACTGTGACGTCATTCACTGTGACGTCATTCACTGTGACGTCATTCACTGTGACGTCATTCACTGTGACGTCATTCACTGTGACGTCATTCACTGTGACGTCATTCACTGTGACGTCATTCACTGTGACGTCATTCACTGTGACGTCATTCACTGTGACGTCATTACTCAAAGTGTACCGTACATGACTAGACCCACACTAAATGTAGGAGGCCAAGGCGTGTTGTTGTTTATTGTTTCTATTGTATCAGGTATTGGACGTGCTCCTGGGACACGGTGCACAGGTCAATATGACAATGGGTGGTGCTTCAGGCGGTGCCACTCTGCTTCACGTTGCCGCACGAGCCAACAACCTGATAGCCATGAACATCCTGATAAAGTACAAAGCTCAGATCAACTTGAGAGTAAGTGCTCTGCTGCTCTACATGTAGATGCTGCCAAAGTCGGGGGGGGGGGGGGCTAGCACATCTCTACGCATGTTGCCCTAGACTTCTCAATCTCTGGCCAGCTAGCCATGGTTTGATCTTGTTAGGTCTCCTCAGCGGAGTTCAGAGCTCATTGGCCGAACAGATGCCAATGAAGTCCAGTGAGGAACAAAGCACTTCTAGCCCTATGCAAAACCCCACTCCCACAGCACCTATCGATGTGAAGGTATACGCTAGCCTGCCTGCCTGTCTGTATTAAACTGTTTACGGGGTACCGAGAATTTTCACTTCATTTCTAAATGCACTGGGAAGGCCGGATCAGAAATGTCACAAATACTTGCCTGACTCACATCACAATAAGTCATGGCTAGGAGAAACATGAGTTGTAATTTTACACCACCCGTAGCTCTGAGGTTAACATGAATTCGATTCATGGAAATACTTCTCGTCCTCCCGAAATTCTAGATTTGCCTCCAGTCATGTAGGCCAGATTGTTACCTGGGTATTGTACTTGTGAGTGATAAGTGAATGTGAGCATAAAGGACGTATGGGGTGGCTTACACTTACAATCCTGTGTGGCTTTGTCTTGGTGAAGCATTGTAGCGAACTCCATGGACGGTTTTGTTCTTTTCTGTCCCTCCCTGCTCTGGCCACACAATTGTGTGCGGAAGGATTGGCAAATGAGGACACCGCTGCATCTGGCGTGTGAAAGTGGACAGCTGGATGCTGCAAAGCTGCTAATTGATAGGTAAGAAGGTGTAGGTGTAGCTGTTTGTCTGCATGCATACTGTGCTGCCCAGACCAGTAGTGCTGGCTTTTGAAAAGGCCCAGGTGTATGGTGTAGGTGCGAAAGTAGAAGGCAATGCATTGTAGAAGGGATTGAGTATACAACGTATGTACATATGTGGACAACTGACAGGATTCACCTTGCTGTAATGTATGTATAGATAGAACTACAAACAGTTATGCCCATGCCATATCCGATGATGCCCTCAGTGAAATGGCACACGTACGATATCACTGAGTTGCATGTGTGATATGACTCGGGTGTCATAGAGTTGTATGTATGATGTCACAGACTTGTATGTATGATGTCACAGACTTGTATGTATGATGTCACAGAGTTGTATGTATGATGTCACAGAGGTGTATGTATGATGTCACAGAGTTGTATGCATGATGTCACAGAGTTGTATGTATGATGTCACAGAGTTGTATGTATGATGTCACCGATTGGCAGTGTATGGCTTTACAGAGTTGTATGGATGATGGTTACCATAGAAGTGCATGCATGATGGTCACCATAGACCAGGTGCGATGGTACATTTCTGAGTCTTAGAGTGTTTTAGATGGGCTGTGTTACAGAGGTACAGTTCATGTGCAATCTAGCATACAGCCTTTCTGCTACATGTTGCCGGTACTTGTTACTGTAAACTGCCTAATATTTGCGACGGATTAATGTTCGCTATTTTTGCGAGAAGAGCGTAACGTGAATATTAACCAGCGTGAAATCAAGCTTCAACAGTGGGTGTATGTAGGTGGCCCCGGTGCTTCGCGAACTTTTGCCATCGCAAACTTGCTGGTTCTAAGAAATCGCGAAAATTTCGTGACGCGAATATTGGGCGGTTTACAGTACATGATTTCCCTTTGTTTGTACAGTGGAGCTGACCTGAAAATGATTGATCAAGATGACTGCACGGCCCTTCACATGTGCTGCTGTCGTGGACATAGGCCGGTAGCTGAGCTCCTCCTGAAGCACCAGGCCCCGGCATTCACGAAGAACAAGTCCGACTTGACGCCGTTGGACCTGGCCGTCAAGGAAGGCCATCGCAGTGTAAGCTATTTCGCTGTACCCTGCCCTGTGTTTCGAATAAACTTTCAATGCATGATCATGGAGCTGTGATGAATGAGTAATGATGTGGAAATTATCCACATTCAATTCCCTCCTCGTACGATTACTCAATGATTGTGCAGTCCTAGCCAGAGAAATCAAACATAACCAATGTTAAACTGAAGTAGCACCGGAGGCTACGCGGCCCTGGCAACACACACGCACGCACGCGCGCGCACACACCATTGGACCATTGGACGCCTATCGCCGGAGGTGATGATAGCGATGCTAGAGCAGAAGCCATAGCAGCTTGTGCTGGGATTGCACCATTCAACAGCTTGCAAGGCTGAAGAATTGACTGCCACTATTAAGCCTGGTCTACACCACACAGTTATGAAGTGGCTTTTTCTGGCCAGTGAATCCCTACTTTTTGGTCTTTTTCATATTTTTTGCGCACACGCATCACACCACATACTCCGGCATGCACTGGCTGTTGGTAACCACCCAGGAGAAAGTACGCTTTCCAACGGCCAAAGAGAGTTGGAAAGCTTGTGTCTTTGTGAGTAACTTGAACATTTGGGCTCATGCAAAATCGCACCGATTTTGGGATTTCCCCACAACTTTTGCGTCAGCAAAAATGTTGTGCTGGACCGCATTCCTCTCACTTCGCAGTGGCTTTTCGTTGGTGCAGTACTTCGCCATTGCCGAGCCACCGTGCTCACAGCAGAGACTTCTGTGTGTGTTATTGTTGTGAAGTGGACCACAAAGACTGAAAGAAAAGTCAGGAGGAGTCTGATAAAGAGAAGAAAGACGTGTATGACCATAATCGTCGGAATCGAACCCGCAACCTATCGATTGGAAATCGCTGCACATACCACTGCACCATATGTACCATGTACCATGTAAACGCCCGTCGCAAGAGAAGCACGCAAATCTGCAAATGCACTGGATGTGCACCCACAGATTTTCTCTTTATAGCAACGATAGCGGATCTGATTCTGATTGAAACAGATCAAGACAAGCGCCAGATAACTGTCTAATCCACACAACTGGCGAAGCCATGTGAATCGACCCCCCAATGCACACCTGGTCTACACCACACGGAGTACATCGGAATAGGGCGGCCAAGACAGTTACCTATGCACACCCTACACTTGCTGGGGTAACCAGTGCTGTTTATACTGCACCATATAGGACACACACACACACACACACACACACACACACACTGCTATACTACTAGTACCGTAAAGTACCGCCAGAGCGCCCCACCATCTCGTCCTTTCGTGGTCGTATTGTGGAGGTGGTCTCCTGTCTGTAGGTCATACGACACGAACGTTGTACACATATTGCACGTTCTGCATACAATCCGTACCTTCAAGCGGACACGAGCTCCACACAAAAACCTGCTTAGTGTGACCTTAGTACACTAAGGTTCACACAAGGTACAAACTTTGTTGCACTCTGCCATACGATTTTTCCTTTCCCTGGCTGTAAAATCAGGGTGGGGCGCTCTGGCGGTACTTTACGGTACTATCAATCAGCTACCCCTTGGGGTCATGCCGCCCTCCACTCAGAGAACTGTGCGCAAGGTGAGGGGCAGTGGCGCAAACAAAACAGGAAGTACAGCAAAATGAATTGAAAAAAAGGAAATCAAAACAAGCTGCCATATTGATGGAAAGGGACTCACAAACAGAGGAAGGAAATATCACAAACCAGATGAACAGTCTGCTGTAGGTCCACTATAACATGCAACGACTGAAAAAAGGAACAAAATTAATGTGAACATGATGTTCTGTTCAACAATAACGTCTGTACGCGTACTGCTTCGGCCTTCATGAACCAGGAAAGCACAATCTTGAGCTCACACACACGCACGCACACACGCACGCACGCACACACACACACACACACACACACACACACACACACACACAGCACTATGCACACTTGTGCGTGGAACTACCTTATTCATGAGGTCAGTCGGGTTTCTCTGTCCAGAACTGTACCTCACTCACTCAAGCAGCTACCATACCTGTGCACCGATCATTGACTGCACCGCTTCCACAACAAGAGTCCCTAACCCCAGAGTTTTACATGTGTGCACCACTTCTGCTGCTGTGGTGTTTGTCGCAGTAAAATCCTAAATTCCTACATTAGTACATGTAATACAAACATGTATATGATAGCAAGAGTACACAGACAAGGGTCACGGTTCTCTTGAGTAGTGATGGACTCGTCCAAGGGGGCGTATCATTTTGACTGACCGGGCCAAATGCGCAAGCCTTCTCCGTTTCTCATGTAGATACAATGTCTGTTTATCAGGCTCGGGACGCATGAATCTACCATTCGTTGTTTTACTTCGACCACCATTCAAGCGCTTTCGATCCCTCGCCATGCATGATGGAGTCAGCAAATACTTTTGAAGTAGCTGTAAAAGACTGATATCCCAAAAATTCCGCATTGGCCCAAAGTATGGCCAAGTTACACACACACTTGGCTATGAACTGGCCCACAGCTGTGTGTAACTGGTAGGCAGTGTAGGGTCAGTGTAGCAGGCATGCTCTGTGCACAAGGTAGGTATGGATCTGTCTGCAAAGTCATACAACCTAACCGTATGCATAAAGTACCTGATAGCTATTGGATGATTTATTTATTTTATTTCACCGTCCAATGGCAGACGCCAATGCAAAGGAGGGGGCGTTAGCCAGCCATGGCAAGTTGGACTAGTGTCCTCGCACGTTACACTAGCCAATGGCCAGTGGCACACTCTGGGTGATCAGGGACTCTTGATCACCGGTATAGTGTAGCCTCTTTCCATGGCTCTCCTCGATGCTTTCACTTCTATGCAGCTTGTATACTGCTATAGTGCCCTATGACTTGCTGCACATGGACACTTTAACGAAAGTTATCTCAAAGGAACGTTGCATGTGGTGTTTTGCAACACATTGAGTGTTCTTACTAAGAACTGGGTCAATGAGCAAGGCATGTCCGTGACTGGTTGTTTTCTCTGCACAACGGTTTTCTCAGGTAACTGCACTCCTGCAGAGGTTACTGCCGGACACTGAACAGGCCTACATTCGCCGTCAGTCGTTCAGAGCGCATCGGAAAGATGTGAACACGGTACTGAATCTGCCGGAGCAGCGGATCCTGACCGGAGCATCAGACAATCAGGTACGAGTACAGCCGAGCTGAGTTTTAGATGGTACATGTCCCCATTCTGCATGTCCCAACTCTGCTTGGATTGTGAGCTCAAGAGCCCTCCCCCCTCCCCCCCCCCCCCCCCTGGCATTGGAAAACATGCAGCATGAGTGCCTGTGATCCAGATTCTCACACTAGCCACGGTAGTACATGTACTCGGTTCCTGGCTTGCCAGACAGGTATGCGTGTGTTCCTTCTGTTGCTATTCCTGGTTTGCTTGCCTGCTGATTCTCGCTGCTGCCTAAAGGTGTGCATATGGGACTGCGCCAGTACTGAAGAGGTGGTGTTCAAGCGCAAGTTCACCAACACCATACTGTCCAGTGCACACTTCCTGTCCGATGATAAGAGCCTGCTCGCCATTGGCTCTGACATGGTGCAGGTGGTGGATTTGTACAGGGCTGGATGGAGAGCGATGCTTCTGGACGAGCCTAAACCAGCTTATCAGGTAATCCGAACGTGCTGTGCGGTGTCCGTATACTGAATGAGTGCTGATGGCACACCGATGTTACAGTTCATTCCCCGGCCGGCAGTGGAGTCTGTAGTGAGCATGTGATAGTAGGGACCTTTCGCACCACGCGTACGGATACGAAACGAATGCTGATCCGTCACCTGGGTTCGAGGATTCGTCAGAGTCCCTGCAGAGAGCTCGTTTTCACGAATGGAAGCCTCTTCATTCGTGGCGCGCTCCGAATCTGTCAGGTACACATTTATTTGGCCAGCTACACATGTTTTGCCAGGTACACATTTTTTCCTTGATTCCATGATCCATGCACGTGTGCGTGTAAATACCCGTACGCCAAGCTGCTGGCGGTATTCGTAGTTGCCATGCACATTTGCATGACGACTTGCGAAAACTGAAGTCTGTTCTCGACGAAACGATTACGAACCGAATCAAATTTTCGTTTCGCATTCGATTCGTAGCAAATGCGAAAGGTCCCTAGTGATGCTCAACTGGTGGTAAATGAAGTTATTCTCAAAGCAGCCATGTTCGCTGCCGGTGGTGCCAAATTGAAGATTCCCTGGCCTGGGGGGTGCTTATTCTTCGTGACGGGCAGCTGTGCACAAGTTAACTAAAACGTTCCAGGTGCCAGGAAAGTCATCTCTAGACAGATACAGTGTACTTGCTGAATAAAATGACCTCCAACGTCCCACAGGTACTATTTGCTACTGCATCCGAGCACACAGTAATCTGTGTGCTTGTTTATTGTTTAGGATGAACAACTGTACCTGGTGGCATTCTCGCCAACGGGGTTGCTTGCAACAGCTGGTGTTGTGTCCGGGACAGAGGTAAGCCATGCGTAACCTTACTCATGTCTGATAGTTTGGTTTCTCTCACCGTCTGAACCAGGGTTTGAGGCTACACTGTGTTTGTATTTGGGCCTGGTGACAGCCTCAGTGCTAAAACATGTCTAGGAGTGAACTTTTGCCAAACCACTTATGCCAGAAAATTGTAACATTGCTCGCCAGCTGCTTGACTAGACCGCCAAACAAGTGTGAGAACAAAGTTCGGCAAGATGCTGCCGCCAACGGTTGATGAATGAAGCACTGCGTGAAATTGCTCGACAGAAAAAATCCATTTCGTCATGTCTAAAAAAAATTACAAACCCCCAAAGACATGTTTTAGCTGACCTCGGCTCATTTCTCTCTCTCTCTCTCTCTCTCTCTCTCCCTCCCTCTCCCTCCCTCTCTCTCCTTTTCCCTTTCCCTGTGATTGACCCCACAGCAAAGCAGCCCTGTGCTGTGTAGGTTCCTCTACTGGCATGCATTTCATCATCTAGAGTATTCTAGACAAAGCCAGGAGAACATTCCTGTGATTTTCTTCAAGTTAAAAAGGTACACGTATTGGCAAGCGTGTTCAGTTTGATTGTTATCCCAGTGCAGCATGCATGCATGCGCAATCTGCGTACGTTTGTCGAATGCCTGGCCAACGTGTGAGTTGTCCTGTCTGACTCTTCTGCTCTCATTCAGGTCCTGCTGTGGGACATCTTCGCTGAACAGCCTGGTCTTGTGCGCAAGCCACAACTGACGATAAATGTTGGACAGGGACAGGTAATGATTGCAATCAGGATTTAACTACATGTACTTGATTTGCAACCTGTGCATATTTTTTACACAGAGAAAAAGCCTCTTGTACCGGCAACACTGAAATGTACTGTAGCTCAATCTTGAAAAAATCGGGATGAACTCTAAAACCAGAAAAATTATAATATGCTGCAGCGCAAAATAACGAGAAGGAAAAGAATAACTAGTCAAGTCGCTAAATACGAACAGAAGAAAAAGAAATCATAAGCCAATATGCGCTGAACGGTGCTTAAATTATAACGAGGGGGCGGAATCCGCGAAAATAGAAACATACAAATGACATAGAAAGGGGGAAGACCAGGGAAACAGACATGTTGTCTACTACTATAGCTGATTAACGTGTGGCCAATGTGTGTGCACAGCCGCTCAATGAAACCCGGTCACACGAACCAGGTACACGTCGGGCGCTGTGCAACCCAAGACCTAAGACCACAGAGACGTGAACTGATGCAGGGCACAAACTAGACTGGAACGATCAAATTCATCTTGAGCAGCATTCGTATACATGCTGTGGAACGGATGATGTGTGGCCAAATGCATGCTAGGAGTACATATGTACATATACGCCATACTGAGATTCCTGGCATTTCCGTTTTGAATGCCGAGTGCCGACGTCGATGCAGCTGACAGTCAGTTCAAACTTGGATTCTCACATTGGTCTTTATGATTTTCTCCTCCCATGCAGAGTGGGCCTGCAGTTATTCACAAGTAAGTTTCCGTGGGTCGCTCCTGACTGTGCACCACAGTATAGTGAAACCGGGATCTTTCTCTGGCTGTACAGCCATGGGTGTATGCAGGCCTTGCTTCCACCACTCATGAAAACTAGTTGTATATCTCGCTCCTCTGTTAGTCTTGTGGTATGTCCTGTGCTTGCTCCCGGTTACTGTACTTGTGAAGACCTTGTACTATCCGTATAAACAAGAGTACATAACCCCCAAGAGTGTGCAACTGCCTACACAACCTCTATGCTGTGCTGCGACGGCAGAACTTCACATCACGTGACATGGTTCAAAAGGTTATGCTGGCAAACCGTGCAAAGTGACCACAAAAGAGTTGTACCCAAAGCTGGGCTGCGTACAACCCTGTATCTATCATGCACAGAGTGCAAATAATGTGTACGGGTTCATCACGTGATGTGAAGTTCTGCCGTCGCAGACTAGGCCTAGCCCAAATTTGCTCGGGGCGCTTCGATATTTTGCCGGCAAATTTTGCCCGATCACTTTCCATATTTTGCTAGGCATTGCCTTTCGTTTCCGATATTTTGCTCCATTTTGCTCCTGCTTTGAGGCAAAAATGGCTTCGAATGAACCGTCTACTTTGGTAAAAGTGGATGGTGACTCTGATGAGGAAAGCAAAACTTATAATGGTGTCAGTATTACGGATTTGGTAGCATGATTTCAAATTTGTGTACCACAGACAACCTGCACGAGCTATTTCAGCACGACGTTGGCCCAATAAAACCAAAGAAATTTGAATAAAATTGCCAAAACACACCCGGATCCTCTGTAAATTCGATATTTTGCTCGGAATTTGCCAGCAATTTCTTTTCGTTGGAAAATTCGATATTTTGCTGGAAGAATTGCCGGCAAATTTGGGCTAGGCCTATCGCAGACCCCATAGCTGGAGTTGCACACTCTTGGGGGTTATGTACTCTTGGTATAAATGAGTACATATTGCTACGATTGCTTAGCACAGTTTTCTAACCATGCCATTCAAAACTTCCCTTTTTATTTTAAATTAATCCGACGCTTCTATTCTCCATAGCCTGATGGTATCCACTTCTATTCTCCATAGCCTGATGGTATCCACTTCTATTCTCCATAGCCTGATGGTATCCACTTCTATTCTCCATAGCCTGATGGTATCCACTTCTATTCTCCATAGCCTGATGGTATCCACTTCTATTCTCCATAGCCTGATGGTATCCACTTCTATTCTCCATAGCCTGATGGTATCCACTTCTATTCTCCATAGCCTGATGGTATCCACTTCTATTCTCCATAGCCTGATGGTATCCACTTCTATTCTCCATAGCCTGATGGTATCTACTTCTATTCTCCATAGCCTGATGGTATCCACGCTATCAGATCACCAAAGCTTTGACTATCTGAATGATTTACACCAGCTGACTGGTGTTGGTAATGTGTTGTTACCCGTTGCACAGCATGCAGTTCTCATGTAATACTGAACGTCCTGTATTGGCCGTCAGTATGCAGCCAGGGAAAGACCGGCTGGCACCGAAGGGCAACAACATTGTTTACTTGCTCGACTGGACACTGGGCTGTCCACTGAGACAACTTGATACCGGTAAGCCGGCATGATATCGCTTAAGCAGTGTGCATGTCTTTTGAAGGAGAAAGTCGCAAAGTTCTGCTCGGACTCTGATCCAGCCAGAGCAAGACCCCTATCTGTATCTGACCTGATCTTGTTGCTGTTGGCTTCAATGCTAGTGCTTTCGGGAGAAGGACATGGCGTGGTGTGGAGGAATACCAGAATTAGAAGAATATGGAGGAGTGCCGGATTTGCCAGTGTGTACTATTGGAATACACGATTTCATGGGCGAAAACGTTCGTGGAAGTGTTCTTGCAGCTTACCTTTGGGAACGTATTTTCGTTTTGCTGAGAGGACCCCTTGATAAAGGTTTCATTTCAGAAGAGGGTGTACAAATTTGTAGCCCTGTTAAAGCTTTTTTAAATTGGGAACACCTTTTATCAGCCATCCTTACACGAGGTAATCAAAGAAAGTTAATTCCAGAAGCTATGCAAAAGACGTTCCTTTAGTAGCGTCTGGCGCTAGCCAGGGTCCACAGTTGTGGTCAAAGGGGCACAGTACATGGCTGCGTAACCGGCAAATGTGGCGTTGGAGATTTGCCGGACTCGTGCTTGAAGTGCAGCAGTTCTACTGCTCAACACCGTGGCATCAGAACTTCGTATTGAACCACTAGAGAAGATAACAGCCACACAACGCGGTGTGAGCTGTTACGTCATCATGTGTGAGCTGTTACGTCATCAGGTGTGAGCTGTTACGTCATCATGTGTGAGCTGTTACGTCATCATGTGTGAGCTGTTACGTCATCAGGTGTGAGCTGTTACGTCATCATGTGTGAGCTGTTACGTCATCAGGTGTGAGCTGTTACGTCATCAGGTGTGAGCTGTTACGTCATCAGGTGTGAGCTGTTACGTCATCAGGTGTGAGCTGTTACGTCATCAGGTGTGAGCTGTTACGTCATCATGGTACACGGATAACTGACATGATAGGCTTTCATACAAACTTCACACTTCCTACCTAAGTACTGGTTCTGTTATGCCAGTAACACACATGCACGTTTGCTGAAAGATGACGTTGACTGCTCGACATTGTGCTAGGTCAATGTTGTGGTCAAGTGTTGATATACTAGAATACATGTGCAAATAGAGGCGGAGTGCTATAAAGCATGCTACATGTACTGTACTCTCTTTCCTTTTCATCTGCAGGCCATGAAGAAGCCGCATGTGATCTTTCCATGGCATTCTCCACACAGGGAAGGTGAGAAACACTGGGCTAAACCTGGCTTGCGGCCGTTCAAGCCAGTGTGATTATAGAACTGAATAACCAACATTATTATTATTATTATTATTATCTTGTGTTGTTTCGCATCCTGGAGGTCCTATTGGAAAAATGGTTCTCTTGAGTGTGGTACGTACGAAAAAATTGTACACAACGGACTACAACCACCATGAATACCAAACACTAGTGGGCTGAAGGAACCACACTCTACGTTAACAACTCTCTCTCTCCCCATACTCGTGACGCTTGGAGTCCTCATGTTGCTTGTACTACAGTAGAGAGCACTGGTAGGTTTAGAGTAATATGAAGGGGCATCTGGGCAAAACCCTTACATCAAAGAAAAGCCTCCTTCCCACGGCTCCAAAACCTCCCAGGTACTCGCATCCAATCTGGCATCATCACTGACGTTCGCTGTCCGAAAGTGAAATCGCTCGCTCGCCAGCAAGTGATGTGAGCGCCGGCTCTGTGCCGACCGCCAACCAGACCATTGTCAGCTCCTCCGCCAGGAGATCCCGAACATCATCGTGTCGCAGGGTGGTAAAAGACCCACGACTGCAACAACTTGAAGCTGATGCTCCACTGAAAATTCTTGCCCGCATATGCAGGACTCAGGAGTACTAGTATTCTGCAGTGACCAGCCATACCACAAAGCAACGGTGTCCTGGAATTTCTTCCTCCACAGACCATACCCATGCCTCCTATTGGGCAAAGCAATTCAAGAAGACGCCTCCTCTTGCGATCCTCAAAGCCGTCAGCAATTGCCTGCGTCGCGAACATAGCACTGTTATCTCTCTGCAGTGCATGTGCCTGGGCCTTCCGCTTGTGTACCAAATCCTGAATAGCCATTTAAAGTCGGTGGCAGACCCACAACCACCGGCGAAAAACCCTAAGAGAGCGATGTTCCAACAGGAGCAAGTACCTTCTCATCCAGGTCCATTGCACAAAGCAAATACATCCACGTGTGTCGCATCATTGCAACATAAGCCGCATGGGGTCCACCGCCGCAAATTCCAATAAAACCTTCAACTCCCGAATCCACCCATCCGGATTTTTCGGCACTTGTGTCAGTGGTTGTTAGATTTATCCCCTCGCCCCCGCCATTAGGCGCTGCACCTGTCGCTGGGTTTACCAGGTGTGAGCGGCCGTCGTGAGGGAACGGACACGATAACTTACTTACTGCTGTATTGTGCCATGTCAAGTACAGTAAAACCTGGTTTAAGTGACCACCCCACGGTGCCACCCCACGGTGCCACCCCACGGGCCACGGTGCAAGCAAAAGCGGTCGTTAAAGCCAGGTGGTCTTAAGAACCAGGTCCCACAGTGTCTGTGTAGAACTGTCGGTGCATGGAAAAACGGTCGTTTAAGAGCAGGTGGTCGCTAAACCCAGAGGTCGCTTACACCAGGTTTTACTGTACAGCACGTGTAGTTGTGGCTATGATCATGACAGCCTTGTATCCGGTACGTGTGTCTCCCATGCTAGATACCTAATCACAGGTTCAAGCAGTGGAAAAGTCTCCGTGTGGACAACAGCCAGTGGACTGCTGATAAACGAGATACGTCTTCAGGAAGGTAATCTACCAATCACATTCACCACGGCCATAGTGTTAACACGGGGACTAGAGGCTGCCCTCGAAATAAACATATTTTTCCGAGGCTTGAAGCCGGAAATGGTGTAACAGGGTTGGGGGGGGGGGGTGCTGGTCTCTTTAGTAATGAGTTTAAACATGTTGATGCACTGTACTACACTGTAGGCAAACTGAGCTCTATGCTATGCCCAGTGTACATGTACATGTGTGTCTATTAGGGAGAGGAGGGGATATACATGTACATGTAATGAGAAATTTATTACATCTCCCGAAGGTGTTAGCCACACTGACGGGTGCATAATGTCCGAGTAGCAGGGGGAGTGTGCATTATGTCCGAGTAGCAGGGAGAGTATGCATTATGTCCGAGTAGCAGGGGGAGTATGCATTATGTGTGAGCAGCAGGGAGAGTATGCATTATGTGTGAGCAGCAGGGGTAGTATGCAAGCCTCTATGCTTCCTATCCTACCACACATGTACATGTGCGGATGGTGATACAGTCACTCTGGGACGACCATGTCCATGCACGAGACTTTGGATCACACCTATAAACTGAACCTGGGTCTAGGGAGAGAAAACCAGAGGTTACATTCGTAGGTGTGTGCTTGTATGTGTGTGCTTGTATGTGTGTGTGTGTGTGTGTGTGTGTGTGTGTGTGTGTGTGTGTGTGTGTGTGTGTGTGTGTGTGTGTGTGTGTGTGTGTGTGCGTGCGTGCGTGTGTGTGTGCGTGTGTGCGTACATGTGTGCGTGCGTGCATGTGTGTGAACATGTGTGAGTGAGTGAGTGTTACGTGATCTTACATGTATTGTGTCAATGTGTGTTTGTGTGTGTATGGCTCTGTGCATGTGTGTGTGTGTGTGTGTGTGTGTGTGTGTGTGTGTGTGTGTGTGTGTGTGTGTGTGTGTGTGTGTGTGTGTGTGTGTGTGTGTGTGTGTGTGTGTGTGTGTGCATGTGTGTGTGTGCATGTGTGTGTGTGCATGTGTGTGTGTGTGCATGTGTCTGTGCATGTGTCTGTGCATGTGTCTGTGCATGTGTCTGTGCATGTGTGTCTGTGTGCATGTATGTGTATCTTGATTTGATAGATGTGCCAGTGCGGAGTGTGACCTTCTCCGGCAATGGCCATACCCTGGCCATCGGCAGTGAATCTGGCCGCGTGGAACTTTATAATATTGTCACTGGCAAGCCGTTCTTTCTGCCCGAACAATACGAGGTAAGCCAGAATGCATGTAGTTTGAAAACGTATTTGATACCTCAGGTACAGTATCTGCAAACAAGCATGTATATCAGTGTACGTTGGTATGAAGCCGGTACTAATATAGATGATGTGTTCCCTCATACCGTGCCTTGAATGTCCGGAACCGTTGGTGGAAGGTCATGTGACAGATTTCCAGTTGTGTCTCAATCCTGAATTTGACTATGTGTCACGTGACTAGCAGCTATAGAAAGAAAGTGACTTGCAAGTACTGTATAGGCATTACTAGGGTGCAGCTGAATTGAAATGGAAAAGCATTCGAGTACTCGTACTCTTACATTGTTGATTCAAACACCTTGTTCCAACAACTACACTGATCCTGAGGATATAAGGAGCAAGGCGGTTACCCCTATATGTCGTCTCTTACCTGGGATGTTTGCACATGTGGGCTCTATGGCATGTGGTGTGTGTGTGTGTGTGTGTTTGTGTGTTTGTATGTGGGCTGCTGTACCGCGTGTGGTGGATGTTCAGCAACATCCCATCATGGCACTCGCGTTCTCCAAGTCTGGTGATTCACTCACTGCCGGTTACACTGATGGCACCGTACAAGTCTGGAATGGTGAGTCACGCACCGTTAGCCCGCTACACGTCCGAAAAGGGTTTCAAGTGACACTGGTGGTGTTCAGATACACCCAAGAAGTCGCCTGGTCTACGCAATGTTTCCCAGTCTACACTATGTTTCCCAGTCTGCTTGTATTGTCAGTCGGGCTATGTACCACAGCCATGCATTGTTCTACGTACGCTGCTCTGGTAAGCAGCTTGATGCCAGACAGGGTTGGATGAGACACGGCTGGATGAGACACTCGACTCCAGTTCAAGAGCAACCCTCAACAATCCAACCCAACCATGGTGCAAATGACTGTATTCTGATGATTGTTTGTTGTCATTTTTTACTTCACCATCAGATAACTGATGGGAGTGCGTAGAGCAAGACAAGCGTGCCTTATTCTATTTACTCCTCGTTATGTGGAAATCATTGTAAACATTACATTAGTACCAAGAGTCCATAACCCCCAGAGTGTGCAACGCGCAATAGGGTCTTGTCACGACTCGTTTTCAACATTACGTCATTTTCATGTAGCGGAATGTCGCGGCCTGCATGCGCAGCTACTGTAAGACATGTATATATAACGAGGAAGCAAATCTAACGTTTTAACGGATGACATTTCTTCGTTATAATAAGATCCGTTGAGGCCGTACTGCTTCATATATGCTGTGTCTGGATATGGCAGAATACTGCAAGATCGTTAACATATCTTCTCGTTAACCTATGAATTTTGGACAATCGTTAAATTTGCGACTCGTTATAATAACATGTCTTACAGTACATGAAAATGACGTAATGTTGAAAACGAGTTGTGACAGAGATTTGTGTGGCGTTGCACACTCTGCATGGGGTTATGTACTCTTGGTAGTACTGTAAAGTTGTTGAGCGCTTTCACAGCAATGACTGTGACCCAGCGTTACCCATGTACACTCATGGAGCGGCGCCATGGGGTGCAACTGAACTGCTGCGACCACATGCTTTCATGTTGCATGCAGCATTCGTGATGTATTTACGTGTGTGTGTGTGTGTGTGTGTGTGTGTGTGTGTGTGTGTGTGTGTGTGCGTGTGTGTGCATGCGTGCGTGTGTGCATGTATGTGTACATGTATGTATGTATCCTTAAACTTACAAAGTGGTTGGTGGCAGCTCACAAGAGAGCATGGATGAGGTGGAGGCGTACTCGCCGTTTGATCATGCACAGGGTAAGACGATGCAAGCCGCATACATGTATTTGCTAGGATAAGTGCTTTGCTGATATATTTCCTTTGCTGCGCTAGTGGTATCACACTGCTCCTGTACCCATCTTAATGACTGTCTTGCCATGTGTTCATGCTCCTATCCTCCAATGTCTCCATAGCAATACAGGCCAGTGGCGAAATGTCAAGTGCAAGTCGGGAGTTCCTGCACGCAGAGTTTGAGAGGTTTGACGCTGACAAGAGTGGCTCGCTGGATGAAAAGCAGCTAACTGACTATTTCCACATCTACATGAACACCAGAGTAACAAGTGGTAAGTGGTAAGGAACGACTCTGTGTTCTTCGGCGTGAAACACATAATTTACAAGTAGTATGAATATTGGTCTCCAGTCTCCAGTCGCTAGTCTACTTGATTTCGTTTCTTTACAGACTAGAAACTGCTTTACTGGCAGCCATCGTTCTTTGGTAGGTTACTACCAAGCTACATTCCGGTGGGAGATCCGTCCAAGGTGTTATCCACTGCATGGGACAACTCTCCATCCCGTTCCTTCTCCACCTCCACCTCCTCTTTCTCTCTCTCTCTCTCTCTCTCTCTCTCTCACTCTCCCTCTCTCACTCTCTCTCTCACTCTCACTCTCTCTCTCTCTCTCTCTCTCTCTCCCTTTCTCACCGGCCGTTTCCCCGACTATCTCGGGGACGTAGGCTTGGCAGGGGTTCACGTGCTTGTCGGCCTGCATGCTCGGCCGCAGTAGTAAAGTGATCACTAGTTTAGCAATACAGCTACCAGGTATGCCGTATGAGCTGTCTGGTGAGCTGCTGGCTTCAAATGCCCTGTTGAAGTAACACCCATAATGTGTCTGTGTGCTTGTTTAGATATGTATATGGACCTACAGCAGAACTTCCTCACTGACGCCGACCTTGGAGGTTTGACCATTGAGGGCTTCACTAACATGGCATTCCAGCATTTCTGTCTTGATCCAGAATCCATGGTAAGAACTTAGCCAAGTGACCACCTGGTCACTTGGCCGCCGCGTACATGTATGCTACTTTGTGCTTCGGGTATGACGCATCAACACATTCTGTCTGCTGTGACGTGTAGTCACCTCCAAACCTGTGTGCTCACATGGGCATGTGTGCTTGATTGGTTGTGTGTACTATTCTGCTGCATAGTGGCCCATCTGGCTCAACCGAGGCTTTCCGTCAGATCTCTAACCATGGATCCCCCTAGCCGTCGCCACCCTGAAGCACATCAGCAGTCATGATACACATCAGCGGATGCAACTCTGCCGGACCAGGGTGCGTTTTACTGGCCGTGGTGGCATCAGTGATTCCGAGGGCTGCGACTGAGTTGCAGCACTATCCAGATCTTGGCCCCTGTGCCCTTACTGTATTGCCTAGCTGCACTGCCGACGCAATAGAGAACAGTCTGTACTGCTGGTGCTCAACTGTACAGCCACACCAGTCACTATCAACAGGAACTATAGAAGATGCCACTAAAGTACACGACTCATTTGGAAACTATCGGAATCATCGGATTACTCTAATACTGTCACATCTTATTCTGTGTTCAGCAAGGAGAGAGAATAACAAGCGAGTACTTGCATGGTTTGAATACCAGATACGTCTCTCCTGTACTCTAACCAAATTCCACTGTCGGCCAAGTTGCGTCACTTTTGACACAGGCGAAATGGTGCACGCCCAAGGCCCGTTCCAGCAGCTCATTTCTGTTCCCTACTTTGCCGGTCCATCCTGCTGCACGCCTAGAATGAATAATGCGTTTGCTTGGTCAATGCGTGCTACACAGCTCTTTAGTCTTATCGTGCAAACATCCACAGCTATGCTGATTGAGCTAATTTGACAACTATTGCCGTGTACATGCTTGAAGGAAGATGCCGGCAGCTTGTCTCCATCAGTTCTTGAAGGAAGATGCCGGCAGTTTGTCTACATTTCTTGAAGGAAGATGCCGGCAGTTTGTCTACATTTCTTGAAGGAAGATGCCAGCAGTTTGTCTCCATTCCTTGAAGGAAGATGCCGGCAGTTTGTCTCCATTTCTTGAAGGAAGATGCCAGCAGTTTGTCTCCATTTCTTGAAGGAAGATGCCGGCAGTATGACCGCATCTCCTTTTAAGAATAAAATACAGATACCACAGAAATTTCTATAGATCCCATCTTACGACAAAATTATTTTACATTCCCAGTATATGCATGCAGTGCATTACAATTTGCCTGCCTTGCTTCCTACAATAGCCTGCCTTGCTTCCTACAATAGCCTGCCTTGTCAATCTGCAGAGAAATTACAGTTTACGTTAATTAGAAGAGCACGCATGAAGCTTTATTGATTACAACCCCCCCCCCCCCACACACACACTTTTTTTTTTTTCTAGTGCTCTTTTAACATAACAATTAGTTACAATTTACCTTATGATGCGGAGTATACGAAGCATATGTACCGGAATCGTTGAGGATGCTGGGACAATCAGCTAGTATAGCCTGTGAAACCTATGGAGGGGCAAAGGAAACAGTGGCTGGCACTTTTTTCTGGACAGGTGTCCTGTACGATCGTGGAGAACTATGCGTGCTTTTCAGCTTTAATTACTGGTGCGACGGGCTGGTGGACCAATGTGCTGCAATGTGACTGTGTGGACTTTTCTACTGCCCAGCTCACAACAATTTAGATTTACGTTCTCCAGCCTACCTCATTACAGTAGCGGAAAACTTGCACGCTTACGTTAGCAACCATTCT